GTTCAAATCCTGGATATCGTTGTTAATTTTCTGTCTCATTGGTCTGTCTAATATTGATGTTGAAGTCTCCCACTATTATTGTGTGGAAGTCTAAGTCTCTTTATAAGTCTTATATATCTGGGTATTCCTGTATTGGGTGCGTATATATTTAGGATCTTTAGCTCTTCTTGTTGCATTGATCCTTTTATCATTATGTAATATCCTTCTTTGCTGCTGTTATTCTTGATGTCTCCCATCCCCTCCTCCACATCCAATTCATCAGCAAGTCCTGGGGGTGCTACCTTTGCTGTCTGTTCCCAGTCTGCCCCCTTCCCACCTGGTCTGAAGGCCGGCCGCCCCCGCCTGGCGGACAGTGATGCCTTCCTCTGCTCTCGCCCCATGTGGCATAACTCCTCTTGCACGCCTCAAACTTAGGAGTGGAACTGACCGGCTTGAAGCCCTTCCTGGGTTTGAGGTCACACCTCACACCAGCTGCTCCTAGCCAATGGCTGAGGGTGACAGGTACACTCATGCAGACCCATTTCTGAGAGATGAGGGACTCCTCTGGTGGCCAACTATGGCTGGTAGAATCCCCCACAACTTTGCTGAAGGTTCCTCAGGCTACCTGCAGAACAGGGCATGTGCACCCCACCTTCCCTCTTCTTCACTCAGGGCCTCCCAGTCTTCTCTGGCTCCCGCTCTACTTCCTCACACAGGCATTTTCACTAATAAAACCCTTACATGTTTAACCCCGTCTTGACATTCTTGGAGGATTTCGACTCACGCAGTCCCTGTGTGGGAAATTCTGCTTCCCCTTCTGGAACACTGGACACGCATCTCTGCTCTGTGCAGGGGGAGGCTGATCCCTAGGAATCCAGGACTCAGTGTCCTCTGGCTCCTGACTGGGCTCAGCAAATGAGGGCAGAGAAGGAGGAGAATACAGCTGAGGTTCCCTGCAGCTCCCTCCCCAGGTCACTGTGGGTGGGCTGTCACATCTCCTGTCTCCTGGTGGCCTTTCCAGGTTCCAGTAACAGTTCCTGTCCGTCATCCCTTCAGGTGTAGGGGTGGTAACGCTTCCTGCTCATCCTAGCCTGGGACACTGCACAGTCCCTTGTTAGTTTCCTTGAGCCTGCCTGTGCCTTTGTAAATATCCACTTTATCAACCTCTTCTCCAGTTATCCATCTCCAGGTGCCGTGTGTTCCTGCTGGAATATACTGTCACCCCTTACCTCCACAGAATATTAATATGTTTTCAACACAGCAGCAGATTTTTTTTTCCTGCTCTGTCGCCCAGGCTGGGGTGTAGTGGTGCAATCTCGTCTCACTGCAACCTCTGCCTCCTACGTTCAAGCAATTCTCCTGCCTTAGCCTCCCCAGTAGCTGGGATTACAGGCACACATCACCATGCCTGGCTAATTTTTGTATTTTTAGTAGAGAGGGGGTTTCGCCATCTTGGCCAGGCTGGTCCCCAACGGGTTGGTCTCAAACTCCTGACCTCGTAATCCACCTGCCATGGCCTCCCAAAGTGCTGGGATTACAGGTGTGAGCCACTGCGCCCAGCCAAGAGATCTTCTAATACATAAGTCAGACTGGCTTCCCCTCTGCTGCAATCCTCTAATGGCCTCGAATCTCACTCAGAGTCACAGCCAAAGTTCTAGTGATGCCCTATGAGGCCTCCTGTGATGTGACTTGGCCTCTTCTTGCTGCACGTCAGCCTCGTGGCTTGTCCTAACACTCCAGTCCTGTTCATTCCACCTCAGGGCCATCACCTGTGCTGTTCCCTCTGCCTGGAATGCCTGTCCTCCTCCCATGCACACGCCTTGCTCCCCTCACTTCTCCTGGGTCAAAGGAGGGTGTTGGGGCCCCTCTGTTTGGGCCTGTTTTAACCTGAGCTTTCACAAAGAGTGAGCCTCAGATGTACGTATCCCATTCTTACCTCCAGCCCTGCCTACTCCCAAGTCACAGCCCGCAGGTACACCACAGCCCCTGTACCTGCACAAATTTATTGTAGCTGATGAGGCCTTCGTTGGAGAGCACCTGGTTGATGGAGACGGTCTTGACTTGCTCATTATCTGTGAAGGAGAGAGATGAAAGGGAAGGGCAGGCACAGCACCCACGTGAGGGCCACCTGCTCAGGGAAGCAGACAGGTAGGAGCTAAGTCCACAGCTACTGGTCCTGCCAAGTCAGCAGCCTCTGACTTTCCCAGGCCTTGGGTGGGCACCACCTGTCCGAGCTTGCCTTGGCCACTATGCACATCTGGGGGTGTAAGGAGTGGGAGGGTCTGGTTGTCATTACGCAATGAACTTTAGACCTTTGAGTTCAATGGAAGCAGAAACGCCTTTCACTGGAAATTTACAACCGCTCTGGGGCACTGGATGAGGATTCCTCTTGCTTTGGCTTAGCAGGGAGCTGGGTCAGTTGCTGCCCACCCACCCACCATCAGAGTCAGGTTTTATAGGTTCACTGACCAGCGAACCGGCCAGTCCTGGGATTCCAACACCACCAGTCCCCAATCCTGCCCTCCAGGAGGTGACTGCATGAAATGAGGACCTCCCAGGGTCCCAGCTTTTCTCAGCCTGATGGGGTGCCCGTGGAGATGAGACTGGACAGGGAAGGGGAGGGTGGAGTCAATGGCACGCAATCCTCATGGCTGCCGCTTAGTAAGTGCTTACCACGGGCAGGCCCCAAGGGGAGTGCCCGCATTCAGCATCTCATTTAACCCTCATGGTGACCCCCACATAAGGTATGCATTATGATCCCCACTTACAGATGAGAAAACTGAGACTCAGAGAGGTCAGAAGACTTGCCCAAGGTCACACAGGTAGGATATGTGGGGCTTGTGAGTCAAATCCAAGTCCAGGGCTGGCAAAGGGCCTCAAGCCTTGACCAAGGGAAAGGAGAGGGCTCCCCGGCCCACCTGTACACCTGCAGGTCCAACGCTCGCTTCACCCCAGTTAAAGGCAGGCAGCTGGGGTCCAGTCCCAGCTCCACTGCAATCCTGCTGAGGCCTCTGGGCCAGTGACTTCCCCTCTCTGAGCCTCACATTATTGGGTATAAATGTGGGTGATAGTCATCCCACAGGCTCTGGTGAGATCAAATGAGATAACACGTGTGATGTGATGCACACAGCATGAGGCCTGGAGCACTGAGGTGCCTGATAAGTGCTCTGGCCTTTGTGTCTGTGTAAGAGTGTCAGCCAGCTCCCTCTCTCAAAATTCCTCAAGTGTAAAAAAAAAAAAAAAAAAGTGGGTCCTGGCCAGACACAGTGGTTCACACCTGTAATCCCAGCACTTTGGGAGGCCAAGACCGACAGATCACTTGAGCTCAGGAGTTCAAGACCAGCCTGGGCAACATGGCGAGACTCCATCTCTACAAAAAATACAAAAAATTAGCCAGGCATGGTGGTGCATGCCTGTGGTCCCAGCTACTCGGGAGGCTGCAGTGGGAGAATCGCTTGAGTCTGGGAGGTGGAGGCTGCGATGAGCTGAGATCGTGCCACTGCACTCCAGCCTGTGGGGTGGCTGCTTGTGGCCTGCCACCTGTGAATTCTCCCACTCTGCCTCCCAGGTGGGCAGGTTGGAAGAACTTTGCTAAACCCATTTCTGGGTCTTGCTCACCATAAACCTGGTTCTCCCTGGAAGGATGAAGGTGGCGTGTCTCCCTGCCTGGTCCATATTTCAGATTTGAGGATTTCTAAGACTTACTCTAGGTTCAACGGAGTCTAGTCATGGTCCCTTAGGGAGTGACAGAGTCAAGAAAGACTACATCTCTTCCACTTTACTGCTGGGGCTCCAGAGTTGTGTCGGAAAACGTTAACACTGGCAAACAGAGAGCCAGGGGACTTCGGAAGCTATTCTACTTGGGAGCGTCTGAGTTCTACAGAAGCTTTTTACTCTCTGAGCTGTTTGGTCCAGGATGCTATCTGCCTCCCCTGAGGCCATGGGACCAAGAAAGTCTATGATCTTTTGTACCAAAGGGTCTTTGCCCTGTGACCCCTGGGGTCACTGAGAAAGAGAGGCTCCTCTGGGATTCATGCAGTCTCTGTGGGGCCGGTAAGGGAGTGAATTTGAGAGCCCTTCCAGCAAGCTTGCCGGATGACTCCAGTCCAGACAGCTCCCTCTCTCAAAATTCCTCCAGTGGAAAAAAAAAAAAAAAAAAGTGGGCCCTGGTCAGACACCGTGGTTCACACCTGTAATCCCAGCACTTTGGGAGGCCAAGACCGACAGATCGCTTAAGCTCAGGAATTCAAGACCAGCCTGGGCAACATGGCAAGACTCCATCTCTACAAAAAATACAAAAAATTAGCCAGGCATGGTGGTGCCTGCCTGTGGTCCCAGCTACTCGGGAGGCTGCAGTGGGAGAATCACTTAAGTCTACGAGGTGGAGGCTGTGGTGAGCTGAGATCATGCCACTGCACTTCAGTCTAGCTGATAGACACTCTCAAAAAAGAAAAAGCAAATGCCAGCCCCGTGTTTAAGGAGTCGGGAAAAGAGCACCATTAAAAGCGCTGCAATATGAAGCTGTTTGCTTCTCCCCAGGTCTCACTCTTGACTTCTCACAGTGGTTTGTATTTGCTGTTTCATATTGCACTTTGCCAGGGACACACGTGGGGCTGGGCAGACCCTTGCTGGTGTCAGGGCACAGCCTTGGGCCTCACAGCAGAGGCCTAGCTACCAGTGGGCTGTGCCTGGGCATGTCTCTGCTATGAGACCCACATGCTGTGCCCTGGCATGGGGCTGGCAAGTCCAGCCTGACATCTCCTTCTACAGGCCCGCCACCCCAAGTCAAGGCAAATAGGCGACCTCCAGAGTATTGTGGCCTCTGGGTATGTGCTGGGTACCTGAGCAAGGCTGGGTGAGACACTTACCCCTCCCAAGTTGCCCACCAAATGCCTTTGCAGGACAGGGACGACTGATGTCATGAAGATGCTGAGTGGCACATGTGCCCAACCCAACCCTCCCCATGCCAGGCTCCTGCTGGGGCAGAGTGCTGCAGCATCTCAGGACAGTGACAGAGAGGGGGAGGCCTGGTGCTGGGGCTCCAGGGAGCACAGGAGTGGGCAGCAGAGAATCTGTGCCAGGGAGGCAGGCAGGCTGGGAGACAGAACTGTGCCTGAGCGGAGGCTCCAAGCCCCACAGATGCTCCATTGATCCACACAAAACAGAATTCAGGTTTCAGGACAGTGACTGCAGAACACTGAAGCTCCATGGTGTAACTGCGCTGGTCACATCCCTGGGAAGCCACTATGTCCCCACTCTGTCCATGTCTACCGTCTATCGCCCCGATCCCCGGCCCAAGCAAGGTGTGCAGGGATAGGAGTGAGAAGCCCTGAATCTGGGGACACAGCCCTGCTTTAAAACATGCCTTCACCTTCTCAAGCTGTAAAGTGTCTTAATTCGGGCGAAAGGCAAGCAAGTTGTGAGCAGGGAGGGACACGGCGCTGTTACCCACCAACAACCCCCTGGAACAGTAGGGCCCTCCCGTGGCCACACTTCCGCTTCTCCTGGAAGAGCTTGAAGCAGGCCCCCGGGCTGGCCAGGAGCATCCGGAAGCCCTGTGTGCAGAGAACAGATTCAGCTGAGCCTCCTGCCTTGGCATGATGCCCTGGAACTCAGTTCTTGCCCCAGATGCCGGGGAAAGACATGTCATGCACAAAGCCCTTACCTTCCCATTGGGAGCAGGGACGAAGCTCAGAAACTCATCCACGTGGCCCACAGCCAGCCAGTCCACAAAGAGCTCCACGGGGGGCTGCACCTTCTGGGCATGGAGGAAGTCCCGCACCACCTGGGTGACCCTGCGGCCACTTGACCTGGGACCCAAGAGGTTAAAAAAAAAGTCGCTTAACTAGAAAGACTCCATGCAGAAATAAAATGACAAGAGTTTAGCATTTCGGCAATATCTGATTTTTTTAAAAACAAAAAAGGCCAGGAGTGGTGGCTCACGCCTGTAATCCCAGCACTTTGGGAGGCCACCGCAGGAGGATCACCTTAAGGTGGTGAGTTTGAGACCAGCCTGACTAACATGTACTAAAAATACAAAATTAGCTGGCGGTGGTGGCACATGCCTGTAATCCCAGCTACTCAGGAAGCTGAGGCAGGAGAATCGCTTGAACCCGGGAGGCAGAGGTTGCGGTGAGCCGAGATCGTGCCACTGCACTCCAACCTGGGTGACAAGAGTGAAATTCAAAAAAAAAAAAAAAAAAAAAGACTCTGTCTCAATAAAAAACAAACAAAAAAATGCATTACTTTTATGAAAAAGAAAGATAATATGTACATTTTAATTAATTAATTTTAAGATGGAATGTCACTCTGTCACCTAGGCTGGAATGCAGTGTTGCCTCATTGCAACGTCCACCTCCCGGGTTCAAGGGATCCTCCTGTCTCAGCCTCCCAAGTAACTGGGATTACAGGCGTGCACCACCATGCCAGGCTAAGTTTTCTGTATTTTTAGTAGAGATGGAGTTTCACCATGTTGGCCAGGCTGGTCTCGACCTCTGACCTCAAGTGATCTGCCCACCTCGGCCTCTCAAAGTGCTGGGATTACAGGCGTGAGCCACCGTGCCTGGCCAGATACGTATATTTTAAAATTCCATCAGGGTGAGTTCTGCATGAGGCAGACTCAGGGCAGGTCAATCACACCAAGGCAATGACCCAGCAGGTCCCGCCATCCAGGAGAACCTTCAGAACCACCCACACACCCAATTCTCATTCTGTAAGAGATCGATTTCACCCCCACGTTCAAGCCTTAGGAAAACGTATCTAAGGGCATGGCCCAGCTTCCTCTTTCAATGGGATTATGCCTGTGAGGTCAGTAAGTCCCTTCCAAAGCTTAACTCTGGATTTGTTCATTATTTGATCCCAAGTCTGTTCGAACGGCTTTGTTGCATTTGGTGAGCTCAGTGTCTTGGTCTAATCCACAGCAAGTAACCATTATGATAGAATTCCTTTTCTGTCATGACTGAACAACACAGAATTTGTTTTTTTGTTTGTTGTTTGTTTGTTTTTGAGATGGAGTCTCGCCCTGTCCCCCAGGCTGGCATGTAGTGGCACAATCTTGGCTCACTGCAACCTCCACCTCCTGGGTTCAAATGCTTCTCCTGCCTTAGCCTCCCGAGTAGCTGGGATTACAGGCACCTGCCACCATGCCTAGCTAATTTTTTGTATTTTTAGTAGAGATGAGGTTTCACCATGTCGGTCAGGTTGGTCTCAAACTCCTGACCTCGTGATCCACCCACCTCGGCCTCCCAAAGTGCTGGGATTACAGGCGTGAGCCATCGCGCCTGGCCCATAATTTGTTACTCTCTGTATGTTATTGTCATCTCACTTAGCATGTCTTGTACCTCACTTCTCTTGCTCCAAAAAAGATCTGATATTAGTCATTTACATGCTAGTATGAACAAGCTCTGACTTAAATGCATTTTCTCTCAGGACTGCAGGGAATACAAACTTTTCTTCTGTTACTATTGACTGACTAGCATTAGTAACATTATAACTTTGCTTTCTATGTGACTCACTTACCCTCTTTGGGCCCATTTGTAAAATCAAAGTGTTGGACTGAATGATCTCTTAGGTCTCTACTCTCTCTGGTTTCAAAGTCCACGAGGTGGACCATGTGTGGTGAACACTCAGCATCCCCACCACATCCGGGAGTAGAATTTCATCACTCCTTGTTTCTGATTCTCTTCAAGGAGTAGAACTGACCCTGCTCCAACACCATCACCGCCGCCAACCCTCAGCCTCCGCCCTAGGAATGCCACTCCCGGCCTCTCACCCAGGCAGGTTGCCCCCAATGAGGATCCTCCCCAGGGGGTACTCTTTCCCATTGGCCACCACCGGGGGGCTGACCTCCAGGTTCCCAAAGGAGTCCAGGCCACTCACAGACCTGTCGCGGGGTTCCCGAGTCACGTAACCAAAATCTGGACCCTGGAGAGGGAAACCAAGTCAGGTGGGGGTGGAGGGTACCAGGAAGAGCCTGAACCAACTTGCTGGGCTCTGAGCTTCTTAAAGACAGGGTGGGAGAGGCCATCTATTCTTCAGCTGGAAATACAGAGTTATGGACAGTGCGTGGGGCATCTGATCCAGTCAATGTTTCATGCACACAGAGCAGGCAAAGTTGGGAAGTGCTTGCATTCTCTGGCTTATCAGGGCAGCGTTATCCCCCATGGTCTCGGTCACAGTCACGGTCACTGTCATGACAAGACAGCAGGGGGTGCTCTGGTTGCTCCTGCACTCCCCATGGCCACCCCACCCCCTTGCCTGCATAGCCTTCCTGCCAGGTCTAGCCCAAGGGCAAGGAGCAGCCCAAGTGGCCAGCCGTGGGAACCAAGGGGCTGCTGATGGCCCTCCGAGAACCTGTCTTTGAACTCTAGAGAAGGGGAGACCTCCCCAGGGCCATCTCTCAGAAAGAACTTCAACAACATCAAGGGCCAAGAGAGAGCTCCTAACGCCTGTGTGATCCGTGAGGGGGCTGGAGGGGCCTCCTATTCTTTATGGCACCAAGCAAGTCACCCCTCTTTTCTCAGGAGGTCCCGGTTAGCAACCATCACCTCCTCCATTATCCTTTTATGACAATAATGACACCAGCTAACTCCCTCCATGCAGGTACTGTGATGATGAGAAGCTTCACAAATGCCTGTGAGGCCAGAGCCAAAACATCATTTTTACTGATGAGGAAACTGAGGCTCAGAGAGGGGTAGTAACTCATGCAACATCACACAGCATGTAAGTAATGGAGCGGGGTTGTTCTGACTCTAAAGCTTGTGTTCTGAACAGGTGCACCATCGTGCCTCCCCATTTAGCCCTGTCAGATTTAGTCCATAAAAATACAGGATGCCCAATTGAGGTTGAATTTTAGATATACAACACTTTTTTTAGTATAAGTATATACCATGCAATATTTGGGACATACTTACGCCAAAAAGTTACCTGTGGCTTGCCTGAAATTCACATTTGATTGGGCACCTCTTGCATTTTATCTGGCAACCGTACCCTTATCCCTCAAGAGCACAGTTCCCACTGCTGCCCTCTGTACCCCACACCCTGGTGTGAGCATTGGGGTAAGGCCTCTCAGCTCTCAGGAGTGGGCTGCAGCCAGCCGGGGACCACTCACCAGGATTCTCTTGTAAGGGAAATCCTGAAGTTCCCCATTCCTTGGGGAATCAAAGACCACCGGGAGGGTCTTGTGTGGCGCCTGAATGTAGCCCAGCTCCATCTCGTCCTGCAAGTGAAGAGAGGCGAGACAGGCACAGCTGTGACCATCACCAGCTGCCACTGCTGGCTTGGCTCTGAGCCCTGTGGGGCAGACTGCTCGCTGTGTCCCCCGTCCCAAACCTGTTTTGCGCTTGGAGGTGGAGAGGACCCAGGTCAGGGTGCCTGCTGACTGGAGGAGGGGCTGGAGGCTCTAAGAGAAGGTACACTTGCCTAAGGTCACACAGCAAGACCGAGGTCAGAGGTGAACAAGAACATGGACATGACCTTGGGGGTATCCCCGTGAGTGCTGGGCCAGGGCAGGTGGACACAGAGAAGCTCCCACGTGGCCTGAGTTGGACAGGGCTGAGGGGTCCTGATGGGATCAAATACGCCTCCTCCTCAGACCCATAAATGTGCCAGGCCAGCCCTGACGTCTCTGGTTCGGGAGGAAAAAATGTCCCAGTGTGAATGAAGGACATATCCAGAACCTATCCTAAACTCTTTATAAATATTAACTCCATTCGTCCTCATGACATGCCTAGGCATGGGCACCATAATTACCCCATGTGACAGATGAGGAAAGTGAGGAACAAAGAGGTCTACTTATTTATCCAGTCCGGGCGTGGTCACTCACACCTATAATCCCAGCATTTTGGGAGGCCCAGGCAGGAGGATTGCTTGAGGCCAGGAGTTTGAGACCAGGCTGGGCAACATAACAAGACCCCATGTCCACAAAAAATGAGCTGAGCCTGGTGGTGACACCTGTAGTCTCAGCTACTCGGGAGGCCGAGGCAGGAGGATCACTTGATCCCAGGGGCTTGAGGCTGCCAGTGAGCTGTGATCATGCCATGGCACTCCAGCCGGGGTGACGGAGAGAGACACTGTCTCCAAAAAGAAATAAATAAAATAAATTAATTCAGCAAATAAAGAAATAAAAACTAAAAAAAAAAAAAAATTGTCCCAAAACTCACAGCTAGTTGGTGGCACAGCCAGGCTCTAAACCCAGTCCATCTTGCCTCAGAGCCATGCCCCAAGCCTCCTCACTGGACTGACCTCCAGCCAAGAGGAAAGCTCCTTAACGCGGCATTCAATGTCTCCCACCTCAACTCCTGCCTTTCCCAGAACCAGTGCCCTGACTGAGAACACACAAGGTTCTCTCTTGTGCCTCCCACCCCTGGGCCTTTGCACATGCTTGGCCTCTGCCAGGACCACCATCCTGTACAGCCTGGTGCTTGGCAGCCTGAGTCTCAGCACTGCCTTTATCAGCTCTGTGGCCCAGTCATGCTCCCCTGAGAGCTCCTAAATTATGGGGGGTTTACAGGGGGTTGTCAAGAAGATGAAATGATGCTATGCCTAGCCTGCAGTAAATGCTGCAGAAATGGCAGAAGTCATGTGCACCCATCTGCTAAATCTGGTCCAGCTCAGATGCCCTCCCTCTCGGAGGTCTTCACTGATTTCCTAGGCAGAGGCGACGCTGCATCCCCCAAACCCTGCTGGTGGTTTGCTGGTGCAGCCTCTGCACCCAAGATCTTCCTTCCTTCCTTCCTTCCTTCCTTCCTTCCTTCCTTCCTTTCTTTCTTTCTTTTTCTTTTTCTTTCTTTCTTGCACCCTAGATCTTTCTTCCTTCCTTCCTTTTTCCTTCTCTCACTCTCTCTATCTCTCTCTTCATTTTAAGACAAGGTTTCATTCTGTTGCCCAGGCTGGAGTATAGTGGCACAATCACAGCTCACTGCAGCCTTGATTTCCCCAGGCTCAGGTGATTCTCTGGCCTCAGCCTCTAGAGTAGCTGAGACTACAGACATGCCCCACCATGCCCTGCTAATTTTTTTTTTCTTTTGAGACAGAGTTTCTCCCTTGTTGCCCAGGCTGGAGTGCAGTGGCAAGATCTCAGCTCACTGCAACCTCCACCTCCCAGATTCAAGCAATTCTCCTGCCTCAGCCTTCTGAGTAGCTGGGATTACAGGCATGCACTAAAACATTAGGGTAATTTTTGTGTTATTAGTAGAGACGGGGTTTCACCATGTCGGCCAGGCTGGTCTGGAACTCCTGACCTCGGGCAATCCTTCCATCTTGGCCTCCCAAAGTGCTGGGATTACAGGTGTGAGCCACTGTGCCCGGCCATGCCCTGCTAATTTTTTAACTTTTTTGTAGAGACAGGGTTTCACCATGTCTACACCCTAGATTGTAGGAGTAGGTATTTTATAGCTTGGAGCAATCATTCTGCACATCAGGGCTTCTTAGCCTCGACACTACTGATGCGTGGGACTGGATAATACGTTATTGTAGGGGCTTGTCCTGAGCACTGTCTGCAGACGCTGCCAAACGTCTCCTGGGTACAAATCGCCTCTTGATAAGAACCACTGGTCTCAGCTGTTGAGGGCAGGGAGTATGTGTCTCTTACCTGTGCCACCCCGGGGGCCTGATGTGGTGCCCACCCCAGATCTAGTAGGTGAATGGGTATTGAATCCAGCATTCAGTGTGTGTCTGGGTCTCCAGAAAGTTCTGGAGAGAGGCCTCTAGGTCTCACATATTAGAAAGTGTACCAAGTTCCCTGGGGAGCACCCCAGATGAAGGCCTCTCCCTCCAGGAGGGCATCGTGGCCGGGCCCTGCCCAGCGGCCGTGGTTACCTGGATCCAGCGGTCATTGCGGTTCTCGTCCTGTGGGCAGATGGTCAGCTTGCAGCCGGCCTTCCTGGCAAGCTCAGCCACCGCATCCACAAAACACGTGTTGTTCCTCACACTACAGACAAACCCAAGGAAGAGGGGCTCGGGATGGAGCCAGGTCCTGGGGGCCAGAGGGACCACCCACTGCCCCGAGACTCACCGGCACACATACACCTCTAGCGGCAGCAAGGTGCTGGGCGTCATGATCCAGGGTGCCACTCGGAACACGACAGTGTCAGTGAAGATAGGGGACGCCGAGAAAGCCTACAGGGGCAGACAAGGGGAGAAGGAGCACTGGACTTGGAGTCCAGAGGCCTGGAGGGCCTCTGGAAGGATTGCTGAGACTGAAAGGTGGAGGCTGCAGTGAGCTGAGATTACGCCCCTGCACTCCAGCCTGGGCGATGGAGCAAGACCTTGACTCAGTGTGAGTGGATTCCATGACTGTGGTCCAGAAGAAAGCCCCTGGCCTCTCTGCAAGATGGAAATGAACCAGGGGGTGGTCAGGAAGTCTGGGATCTTTCACACCAGGGGTGCCTGGTAGGCTTACCAGGAATGGAGCCCTCCCCACATCCCTTTATTATTATTAATTTTTTTTTGGAGATAGAGTCTTCCTTTGTTGCCCAGGCTGTGGAGTGCAGTGGGGTGATCCCAGCTCACTGCAACCTCAGCCTCCCTGGGCTCAGGTGATCCTCCCACCTCAGCCTCCCAAGTAGCTGGGACTATAGGTGCACACTGCTATGTCTCGCTAATATTTGTATTTTTTTTTTTGTAGAGATGCGGTTTCGCCATGTTGTCCGGGCTGGTCCCAAGTGGAGCCCCTCTTGAACCCCCTCTGCCCCTACCTCATTGGAGTCATCTAGCAGAGTCACATGGAAGGAGATGAGTCCTGTGAAGCCGGCATCAGGGAAGGAGAGGCCTTCCACGAAGAAGCGCTCCTCGTCTCCATGGAAGCGGGGTACCTCATAGGACACCTTGTCGTGGCCCAGCACGTGCCTATAGGCGTCACACGTATCCTCAGGACCTGGAACGGGAGGGAAGGGATGGCTGTGACTCCCTGTGGGCCCAGGGAGCATGAGCATGAGGGACACAGGAAGGGGCCTGTAGCCTCATTAAAAAGTGCAAGTCCTACAACAACTCCCTCCTTTCACCTCCACTGGCAAAGGAGAGGCAGGTAATACACGGTGGCGGCACAGCTGGGGGAAGGGCCTTCCTTTCTAAGGTTGGTGTTCATGTCTTTTTGGAGTGCAATTTGGCAGCATCCAACAAAGTAATGTTTACCCCTAGCTCAGCAATTCCACTACTAAGTATCTTTCCTACAAAAATACATCTACAGGCCAGGCGCAGTGGCTCATGCCTATAATCACAGCACTTTGAGAGGCTGAGGCAGGGGCGATCACCTGAAGTTAGGAGTTCAATCCCAGCCTGGCCAACATGGTGAAACCCTGTCTCTATCAAAAATACAAAAATTAGCCAGGTGGTCGTGGTGCACACCTGTAATCCCAGCTACTCAGGAGGCTGAGGCAGGAGAATCATTTGAACCCAGGAGGCAGGGGTTGCAGTGAGCTGAGATCACACCACTGCACTCCAGCCTGGGTATGGAACAAGACTCCATCTCAAAAAAACAACAAAAAAACAACAAAAAAGGTACAAATTCATATATTTCTGTACAAGAGTGCTCGCTATTCATTCATTCATCAAATATTTACTGTGCAACTAGAGTGCACCCATGGGGTGTGGTTCTGGACTTGGGACATGGCCATGAACAAAGCCCCTGACCTCAAGCAACCTGCATTGTTATAAAATCAAAACACTGTAAACCACCACAGTTCACAGAACTGTGTAGGTCATAGCATCTCTATGCTTTGGAATATTACATAGCAGAGGAAAAGAATAAAATAGAGCTGAATAAATACCAGGAAAGTGGTGGAATTATTATTCAATGAAGGAAACCAATTGGAAGCAGCATATGGACACACACTGGAGTGCATGCAGAACAAAGCTTGGAAGAGCACATCCCAACTTGTTAACAGTGTGAGTCAGATTTAGGCCAGGTACAGTGGCTCATGCCTATAATACTAACACTTTGGGAGGCCAAAGCAGGTGGATTGCTTGAGCCCAGGAGTTCAAGACCAGCATGGGCAACATGGTAAAACCCTGCCTTTACAAAAAAAAAAAAATACAAAACTTAGCAGGGTGTGGTGGCATATGCCTGTAGTCCCAGCTACTTGGGAGGTTGAGGTGGAAGGATTGCTTGATCCTGAAAGGTGGAGGTGGCAGTGAGCTGAGATCACGCCACTGCACTCCAGCCTGGGAGGCAGAGCAAGACCTTGACTCAAATAAATAAATAAATAAATAAAGAGTCAGATTTAGAGACAGGGGTAGAGAACTCTCAGATTTCACTTTCTATACTTCCGTATTGTCTGATGATTTTAAAAATAAGTGGGGGTGGGGGGTGTGGTGGCTCACACTTGTAATCCCAGCACTTTGGGAGGCTGAGGCAGGGGGATCATGAGATCAGGAGATCGAGACCATCTTGGCTAACTCAGTGAAGCCCTGTCTCTACTAAAAATATAAAAAATTAGCCAGGCATGGTGGCATGTGCCTGTAGTCCCAGCTACTCAGGAGGCAGGAGAATCACTTGAACCTGGGAAGTGGAGGTCTCAGTGAGCCGAGATCATGCCACTGCACTCCAGTCTGGGTGACAGGGCGAGACGCCATCTCAAAAAAAAAAAAAGCCTCTTATTGCTTGTATACACTTTTGCTTTCTCAAAGGTATTTAGATTCTTACTTGTATTTCTTGTGATTTGGGCACTGTGACCATGTAAAACAACAGCCATCTATTTAGGGGGAAATGCAAATGGAATTAAGTAGGGGAGAAACCTATGGTGTTTGGGGCTGGCTTTACAATACTTTAGTGAGACAGACAAAACATGGATAGCTGTTGAATCTGAGTGACAGGCACGGGGGGTTCATCGCCTTGCTTTTGTGTATACTTGAAATTTTTGATAAGAATTTCTACATGTGCTTAAAATGTATTTGGAAAGTTCATTCATCCAGTAAAATGACCTCAGGCCAGGTGTTGTGCTGGGGACACCAGTTCATCAGTTCCAAAGCCCCCACTTCTGACTGTTCTTACTGTGACCAGCCACCCCACCAGGACATCTGGAGTGTGAGCAGGACCTGCCCATGGCCCAAGGCAGGAAGACGAGGTTCCCTGGCAGGCGACCTGGCAACAGGGCACAGACGGTGAGGCGGAGTGGCACGAACTCACCGCAGACGTGGAAGACCTGTGCCCGTTCGGCATCGTAGCTGGAGGTGTGGAGGACAAGTTTGTGGTCATCAAAGAGGGCAGCTGGGCCCTGCGTCCGCAGGACCATGACAGACATATCTTCCAGGTCTATGAAGCCAGAAAGAGTGGTGGTGACTCAGGGGAGTCCTGGACACTGGCACCTTCCTCTGCTGCCTGGCTCCCTCCCCAGGTCAGTGGGTGTCAAGACCTGGGTCTCCTAGCCCCAGCTTTGTGAAAACCCTGGAAGCCATCAAGAGCAAACCACGAAGATGTCCATGCTCTCTTGGACTCATGTTTCCTGAATTGCCCAGAGAAACATGAAGTGTGGCATAGCCAGCCAGCGTCTGACACATGACAGGTGCTCCAGAGAAGCGAGGAGGGTGAGGCCACGTGGGCAGTGGGCAGGTGAGGGTTCCGGTCTCCATCTCAGCATCACCACACTGTGATGTTGGAGGAGCCCCTCCCTTCCAGAGGGGCCACTGGAGACCCACTGGGCCCCCAGCCCCACCATCTCCAATGGTGCCCACTTCGGAAGGCGGCCATGGTCATCTCCCTCGGACAACACCTAGCACACCCCGGAATACTGCAGCTCATTCTCCATGGGGCTGGAATGCAGGGCAGATGGACTTAGGAGGTGGGTGCCACAGAAATACAGGCCAGAGGTGCAGGGGAAGGAGGCACAGATTTGGGGTTGAGGGGAGAGTCCTGGATAAGATACAGACTTCAGGGAGTCTCCTGACTTCTGAGCCTCAGCCTCCTTGTCTCTAAATTGGGGTGATGATACTGTCCCACTTGGATGATTCATAAGAATTTGGGGAAAAGGCCTGGCACACAGTAGGTGCTAAAACAGTGCTAGCATCCTCTGCTCCCCTGCAGGAAGAGAATGGCGAGGTGGCTCATTTCCAGAGCTTTTGCCCCGGCATGTGAGTGCTGGCTGGCACTAGGGAACTAGGGAGGGGCAGCTGCCAGCCTGAGATGGGTTTTGAGGAACATCGAGGTGTGTCTGGAGGCTGGCACTGTCCCCTGGACTCTTCCCTCAGAGTCCCACCTGTGGGTTGGAACTCCCATGGGGTAACTGAGCAGTGACCTGGGACCTGCCCGGCCTCACCTTGCAGGCAGCGCACGTGCTGGTCGTCGTTGTCCTGGACGCCACAGCTCAGATCATCACGGTCACAGTTCACCAGCAAGATGGCACCATACCCACGGGGCCCCCAGACCCACTGCCGCTGCCAATGGCAAAACATAGCCAGTGATGGGAGCTCGCAGGAGACCTGTGCCTCCCTGCCCAGGAACCCCAGCCTGGCCTGCCACCTGACCACTCCACCCTGTGAGGCTAGGTCCACATTCTCAAAACAGCTCCTTCTCAAGAAATGGCAAGGGCAAGGGCTCTCTATGGCCCACACCATCCAGTCCAAAGCACAGAGCTGGCTTTCATGGCTGTCTGTAACGGGCCTTCAGCCAACATCCACTTTCTCAACAAGTAACCTCCTGATTACAGGACCACATGCCTCACACTGTGCTCATTCCCCCATTTCGCCCTCCTTGCTTTTGCTCCTGCCGTTACCTGAAACGTCCTCCCTCCTGCATCCTTTCAGAGCCCAGCTCAAGGGTATGTCCCTCCAGGAAGCCTTCCTCACCCACCCAGTCCACCTCGACCTTTTCTAAACTCCTGTTGCACCAAGTTCCACAATTCAGTCCCAAGTTCTTCAACAGTTTCATTTCTGGTTTCTCTTCTTGCCTAGATCAAGGTCAGCACATTATTAACTGTGGACCAAATCTGGCCCACTGCCAGTTTGTATAAATAAAGTTTTATTGGCACACAGTCATATCCATCGTTTATGTATTAACTGTGGCTCCTTTGGCACTATAATGGCAGAATTGAGACTGTACGGCCCACAAAGCCTGAAATCCTTACTACGTGACTTTCACAGAAAAAGTTTGCCCACTCCTGACCTAGATTATGAGTCCAGAAGGTCTTGATCCCACAGACCAAGGTCTAGCTCAGGGCTGGTTCCTCCATGCCTGATAATTCCTGGTGATGATTTCTCTCCCCGTCAAAGAAGATCCCTAGCCATACCTGGTTTCTGTTTTTGGCTCCTCTGGCCTCAGCATCAGCTGGGAGGTGGGGGGATACCTGTAATGGCCTCACCCTTCTTAACCCAACCTAGAGCAAGCTCCAAACTGCACTCCCTCTTCCTTGGCCCAGGCAGAGATGCCTACCTTGTCTACAAAGTTCCCATCCTGCCTTCCCTCACAGTTCAGATCACAATCCAGAGAGACGTCTGCAAGAGGAGGCAGAGGGTAAGTCACTACAAGGCTCCCAGGAGCCCAAGGCAGGCCTTGACCTTGGGGTTTGTCCAGGGCTGGGCAAAGGCAAGTCATTTCCAAGAAGACACCAGCCAGGGGTGAAGGCGTCTGCACCCTGTGGGCTGGGGAAAGAGGCCTGAGGCAAGAAGCAGGGTCACAGCAAAGGCCCAGGACAAACACTGGGCTCTAGGAAGCCTTCCCTGCAGCCCTTGTACTCCCAGGCACGCCCTGCACCAAGCCCAGGTCTCCTGAAACATTCTTGTCTGTATAAAACCACCTCATCTCCTTGGGATGGGGGAGCACGCCTGGACTTAGGTGTCAAACAGAAGTGAACATGAACCCAGGCTCTGCCACCTACTGGCAGTGTGTCCTCTCTGAGCAACTCACAGTCCCCAAATCCCACCCCATCCCACCTTCTTAACATTGCTCCCCAGACACTGGGGGAGATTTCACAAGACACATGGAGCATTCAAGAGGTCTGAATCAACCTTCCTGCTCTGAAAAAAAGTAGTCTTCTCAGTTCTTAAAGAAGAAGTAGTGAGGAGCAAGGAGGGAGAGAAGAAAGAATAAATTTGAAAGGTTTTTTTTTTTTTTTTTTTTTTTTTTTCAGGCGAGAAAGGGTCTCTGTTGCCCAGGCCAGAGTGCAGTGGCATGATCATGGCTCACTGCAACTTCTGCCTCCTGGGCTCAAGTGATCCTCCAACTTCAGCCTCCTGAGTGCTGGGACTACAGGTGCGTGCCACCACGCCCAACTAATTTTTGTATCTTTTGTAGAGGCAGGATTTCACCATGTTGCCCAGGCTGGTCTTGAACCCCTGGGCTCAAGTGATCCACCCACCCCAGGCTCCCAAAGTGCTGGGATTACAAGTGGGAGCCACCACGCCTAGCCTGAAGTGATTTTTAAACATGTGAAAAAATATCCAACCACCGCGCAACAAGTGGATGCATCGCATAAACATGATATGCGGTAAAAGAAGCCCAACACAAAAGAATACGCACGATATGATTGCATCCGCAGAAAATCAGATGGCAAAATTAGACATGTTATTTGGGTATGCATATTCAGGGGATAAAACCATAAGGAAAAGCAAGAAAATACTTATCACAAGATCGTGGTTACCTGTAGGGGAAGGAAGGAGTTATGATCAGAGAGACATTGTGGGGGACTTCAAGGTGCTGGTTGTGCTTTATTTCTTGGGCTACTCTTGGGTTTATTTCCTGGGCTACTCGGGTTTGCTTTGTAATTATTCATTTGTGTGTGTGTGTGTGTGTGTGTGTGTGTGTACACATATGTTTTACACACATATGTATGTAAAATAAAGTTTTATGTACTTTTTTGTCTATGTTATTTTCCAGTGACCATGTGTGTGTGTATATTTGGGCTGTGGATGTGAATGCCCAGTCTCACTCCTAACTAAAGAAAGGCAAAGTAAAACAACAGTGAGATGCCAACCTACCCGACTGGCAAAAAGGGAAAAAGTTGATAACGCAGTGTTGGCAAAGCATGTATGCAGTTGGCAGACATGCATACTGATACAGTGTTTTTGGAGAACAATTTGGCAATATCTATCAACTTCAAAAATATAGATTCTCTGTAACCTAGAAGTTCTGCTTCTAAAAAATGCCTCCTACAGATAAAGCATTTTCAACTTCTTTGCTAATTGCTTCTCAAGTGTGTGAGCCAAAGCAAACTCCCACCCACTCCTTTGTAACGAGTTTCCCAGCTCCACAACCTTAGCAATGCTCAGTTAAGCATCTTTTAATCTGGGTTTTGATCACTGGGGCTTTCTCTTCTGTGAATTGCTTATTCATATTCTTGCCCATGTCTATTATTTTTGTCCTTTTCTTATTGATTGGAGTTCTTCATATTCTACATGCATCAAGTCAGCCATACGCATTGCAGATTTCTTTTCCTAGTTCATAGTTTGACTTTTTACTTGTCCTCTGCTGCATAGAAATTTTTAATTTTAATGTCTAATTTAGCAATCTTTCCCTTATGGTTTTTACACTTTTGTTTTGCCTTGCTAAAGAAAATATTTACTATCTTGAGGTTACAAAGATGTTCTTTTCTAAAAGCTTTCTATTTTGATTTTCACCTTAAGATTTTTAACTCACTTGAGGTTTCTTTTTGCATATGGTGTGAGGTAGGGCTCCAAGTTCATTTATTGCCACATGATAACCACACAGCACAGGTCTGTCTCTGAGTTCTCTATTTGCTCCATTGCTCTATACCAATTTCACAATGCCTCAAGTACTATAGCTTGAAAAAGAAAGTCTTGATATTTGGAATTGTGAATCCATCCACTTTGTTCTTCATCAAAATTGTCTTGGCTATTCCTGACTTTTGCTCTTCCAGACAAATTTTAGGATCAGCTCTGTAAAGTTATATTAAAAAGCCATGTTGGGATTTCCATGGGAATTTCATTGAATTTAGACTGTTTGATACTGTCCCAGAGCTCTTAGATCTGTTGTGTTTTTTCATTTGTTTATTTTATTCTTTTTTCTCTTTGGGTTTCAGTTTGGGTAACTTTTATTTACTTATCTTCAAGTTCACTGATTCTTTCCTCAGCTGTGCCACGTCTACTGATGAAATCTTCAAAAGCCTTTTTTAAATCTCTATTACTATGGTTTTTATTTATAGCATTTCCATTTGACTCTTTCTTATCAATTTTCTTCTTTGTTGAAATTCCCTGTCTGTTCATGCATGTTGTCCACCTTGTCTACTAGAACTCTTAACATATGAATCACAATTACTTTGCATGCCCTTTCTGATAGCTCCAACATTTGAATCATCTTGCATGGAGTTTATGAATCCATTTGTGGAGGCTTAGCAGAAAAACTTTAAGCTGGCAAAAGCAAGGCCAGTTCCTTGTCTATAGTATGCTTCAATTTGCTTACAAAATAGGGGAGATATACAGGTATGTATTTGCCTTCATATACAAGCACAGCATATCTCTAGAAAAATGTTGGGTTTGGGGAACTAGAAGTCCTGAGTTGGAGGGAAGGAGGTTTCATTTTCAATGTACACTCTTTGACTTTTTTAAATGTGCCCTTGGCCACACCATCAGCATGGCCCCAACTTACCAACACAGGTGAGGTAGAGCACCGCATAGGCCAGGGGCAGAGGCTCACGGCTGGAGTGGTAGGAAATCTGAACCTGTGGAGAGTTGGGTGCAGAGTGATGCCAGCAGAAGCCAAGAGCTCCTGACCCAAAAGAGCTCTCGGGGATCTGGTAAGGAGGGGAAGGGGCCCCAGGAACCTTGCTCTTTCTTTAACCTTCCCGTGCCATTTATTTTTCTGTGTCTTGGTTGGCACATCTGTAAAACGGGAGCTATTTGTGAGGGCTTCTCCAGAGACTTGGGTCCCAGTCCCTCCAATAACCTACTCTGTGATTTTTGACAAGATCCCACTCCCCTTTGGGTCTCAGGTTTACCATTTGTAAAATAAAGGGTTTGGACTGGGCAAGGTTTGGGGACACTCTCCAAGCCGACATTCTTGTCTGTGGGACTCAGACAGGTCTGAGCCCGGCACCTCTGGCCACCCTATGACCTTGGCCAAGGCCTCTCACCTCTCTGAGCCACCTCAGTGTTCCCACCTGCAAAATGGGAAAAGGTCTCTACCTCCACAGGTGTCTACCTCAGAGGCTCGTAGTGCAGCTTGGAAACAATACATGTAAAGGACTGAGCCCATAGGCAGTGCCCAAGAAATACCAGCTATTGTTATCAGTGGGCAGGCGGCATCTTGGGTGGGGGTGGTTCAATGCAGGGCTCTGGGGTCAGATGGCCTGGACCCAGATTCTGGATGCCCCACTTTTGAATATTCCGGGAAAAGTTACTGATCTTCTCTGGGCCTCAATTTCCTCAACCGTAAAGTGGGGATGACAATAGTTCCTGCCCCTGAGGACTAACTAGAGGCTGTGAAGATGAAAGGAGTCATGTATGGGGCATGCGCAGCTTGGTTCCTGGCCCACAGCGAGCACCTAAGAACTGTTACAGTGTGAGGATGAAGATGGCGAGGATGACATTTGGTTGGAGTCGGGTGAATTCAAGGCATCCAAGTTCATCTCTCAACTCTCTGCTTCTGATGTCCAAATCCCAGTCAGAAAGGGAGGATCTTGCAGAGGCCACTCACCTCTGTAGTCCTGGGAGCCCCTAAATCCTGCAATTACTGACCCCCGTGTGTCAATCACCAGCAGTGATGCTTGCCTCAAACGGACAATCACTGGGATCCTGGCCAAAGGCAGGATTGGGTGTGGGGGTATATGGCGGGCAGGGGGAAGAGTGGGAGAGACTCTGAGCTTCCTCCATCCAAACAGCCATCGTGGCCAAGGAATTCAAGGCGGGAGGTACCCACACCATTCCCAGTTCGATCAGCACCCAGGAGGGGCCCCTGGCAGGCTAGTGGGTCCTCTTGCACTGCCCCTGGGACTCTGTCCTGACTCACCAACTCTGCCACTCGCTATATCATGTGACTTCAGGAAAGCCACGCCCCTTCTCTGTTTCCTTGTCTGTTAAATGGGTTCACTGGGTCCTGCCCCACATGACTCATGGAGCTCATTGGAGAGGCTCAATTCAGACACATGGCTGGAAACAGAGATGGCGGTGGTGGAGGGAAACTGCCCCCAGGGGTCAGGTGGGTCTGCACTGAATTCTAGCTCTCCTGACCATTAGGGTGCAGTCCTGGGACAGTTACTCTGAACCTCGGTTGTCCCATCTGTGAAATGAACATCAGTCCCGTGCCTCTCGGGGCTGCTGTGAGGGCCGGATGAGGTCACAGCTGCCCAGTGTCTGCCACGCAGTCAGTACTCCTTAAAGGGCCAGTTTCTGAAACATCACTCCTGACATGGAGTGGAAACCCACTACTCACACCCTCCAAGTCCTGGTCCCCACCAGCCCTCAAGGTGAACATCACCTCTGCCAAGCTTAAAGGCCACCCATTTCTCCCATGTTTTAAATGTCCCCTACCCTGCAAATAGAGTCAGGAAGACAGTGGATTAAGGATAGCAAAGCACCTTGGGGAAACGTTGCCACCTAGGAAGGGGGTCTCCCAGACAGTGGTGTCCCTCCACTGTCCTGCTTTCTCTCTTTCATTCAAAGTGGCAGATTCCCTAGTCAACCCTCAGCCTACATATGGGGAAACTGAGACCCAACTCAGCAGAACTGGGACAACTCTCTCTATAGGGGGTCTTGGGAAGCAAGAGAAGGAGCAACACTGGCCCATGTGGTGCCCACAGCAATGATAGGAGCAGGGGTTATGGTTATCCCCATTTCACAGATGGCAGACAGAGGCCCGGGGGGGGTGACACGGCTCTCCAAGGACACGGGGTATGTGTCTGGAGCTTGCAGAACTGAGATTCAAAGCTATCAGCCTGGTTCCCAGGCCACTGTGCTGCCCAGTGCTCTAGAGAAAGAGGTTGTTGGGCCCTCCAGGAACTAAGCAGCTGCCTCCCCGCAACCTCCCCCCACCCCACCGGGACCAGCTCACATGGCTGTCGTTGAGGTCATTGCTGGGGGAGTTCATGACCACAATGATCTCCAAACTCGCGTCAAAGTGCCACCGCCTGGTGTCTGCGCGCTCCCGGCCCCTCTCCATGTCGGGAGAGATGTAGATGTCCACACCGGGCGTCCCGTAAACCTCGAACGTCTCTGTGCCCTCAGGCACTGACCTGGGCAGGACAGAGAGCCATAGGCAGGGCTGAAGGAGGTATCTTTTGTTCAGATGTTTGAGTTTTGGCTCAAGCCCTGCTTCCTCCAGGAAGTCTTCCTTGGCTACACAAATTCCTCAGATCTTCACAGTAAGCTCCCAGGAGTCAAGCCGGGAGCCCACACAAACATACACACGGTCGGCTGGGCGCAGTGACTCAGTCCTGTAATCCTAGTACTTTGGGAGGCTGAGGTGGGAGGATCACTTGAGGTCAGGAGTTAGAGACCAGTTTGGCCAACATGGTAAAACTCGGTCTTTACTAAAAATACAAAAAATTAGCTGGGCGTGGTGGCATTCGTCTGTAATCCCAGCTACTGGGGAGGCTGAGGCGGAGAATCGCTTGAATCCGGGAGGCAGAGGTTGCAATGAGCCAAAATGGGGCCACTACACTCCAGCCCAGGTGACACAGCAAAGCCCTGTCTCAAAAAACAAACAAACCAAAAACATACACACAACCTCACATTCTAAGGCCTGTGTTCATTAACACTGCCCTTGTGAGTTTCTTCACCACCCACCAGAACGGTGACCTCCTGAGAAGTCAGAACCCAGCCATGTGCTAGATAAATCCCCAGTGCAGGGCTGGGCATGAAGAGCCCCGTGAACACCGGCCAGTGGGGGGTGGAGCCCCTTACAGTTCTGAGAGCTTTAAAAAGAGCCATTCTCACCCCAAATCCCAGCACACGTCTCCTTAGCGGTGGGAAGATATCCCCGGTCTTCCCTGGGAAGGGAATTCCATCTGGTGGAGTGTCCGCTGCATGCCGGGCACCTGGCACAGGAAGCTCCTTCCACTCTCACAAGCTGTAAGGTGAGCAGTATCATCCCCATTTGACACACGAGCAACTGAGGCTCAGGGAGACCTAGTGACAAGCCTGAGGTTGCACAGCATTAAATGGCAGAGCCAGGTGTGCGCCCAGGTCTGACTCTAAGCCCATGCTGTCCCACAGCTCTGCAGTGTCACCCAGGAAACTTGGCCGGATGTGGTCAACCAGGCATTAATCGCAGGCTTAAAATATCTGCGATGTTATCTGGCCCTGAGATCGCATTCCTCTCATTCCTGCTAGTCTGGGGTCCTCCTTGGAAACCAGCCCGTGCCTCCTTTGACTGTGGGGTACCCGCTGTGCCCTCAGGTACTGCCTGGCTGGGCAGATCTACCCACGGCCCTCCCCAGCTGAGGACCAACAGTGCCCAGGGCAGCCAGGTGGGGCTCAGGGCCACAGGATCACAGCTCAGTGGGAACCCCTGTAGGGAGAGGCCACTGTGAGCTGGAGGGTTTCCTGGAGGAAGCGGCACGCACCCCCGCTCCCCGGGGGATAACAGTGGCTGACACTCGTTAAGCTCATGCTGTCCCAGCCCATCATGCAATCCTCTCAATAAATAGAAGCGGGGGCGCTACCAATCATTATCTCCCACTACACAGATGAGAAAACCGAAGTTAAATAACTTGCCCAAGGTTTGTGGTGGGACTAAAATCCAAACCCAGGCCATCTGGCTCCTCAGTCCACACTCTTGCCCACCACCTCCCCAGGTGTCAGAACCACAGTATCCTAAAACCCAAAGCCCCTAGCCTCTGCACCCTTACCACGGCAGGCCTGGCTAAGCCTTTTTGTACGTTAGCTCATCGGATCCTCACTGCAGCCCCAGGATGAGATTATTACTCCTGTCTACACGTGGGGAAACTGAGGCTCGGCATATGTAGAGGACTCCCCCAAGTTTGCACAGCTGGCCACATCCCCCCCTTTCCATCTCCCCTCGGGGTAAGGCAGACCTCCCCCGAAACACCCTCTTCACTCTTCCACCAGCATGATTCTGATATATCTCAAAGGAGCTTTTTTATAAAAAGGGAAATAAACCAAGCCCAAGCTGCTCTCCCTCAGGCAGGTCCCGCTCTGGTGAGTGGGCTCCTGACCGACACACCCATTTCTCCTCCTAACCAGGGCTGCCAGATTTGGCAAATAAAAACACAGCACGCCCAGTTTTTGGACTTGAATTTCAAATAAACAACCAATTATTGTTTGGTAATCCCATGAAGTATTTGGGATATACTCACACTAAAAAATTATTAATTATCTGAAATTCAATTTTAAGTAGGCATCTTTTGTTTTATCTGGCAACCCGACTCACAAAGCCTGTAATTTCCAGGGCTGGTGGAGCCCGCTGGCCTGTTCTGCCCTGGGTGTTCTGCCTTGGGCAGCCCCCGACAGGGAAAATGGCAAAACCAGATAGAGAGGCATGAAGACACAGAGACAGTGAGATAGGGACAGAGAGACTTGGAGAGACTCAGAGAGATGGAGACTCAGAGAGAGGAGAGACACAGGAAGACAGACCCAGGTAGGAAGAGCAGCTTCTCATACCCCTGGGAACACCCCCAGCTCCTCCCTCATCCCCACTCCCAAGGCACCTGACTTCCACCACCCAGGAAGCCTTTTTTTTGAGACAAAGTCTAGCTCTGTCATCCAGGCTGGAGTGCAGTGGTGCAATCTCGGCTCACTGCAACCTCCAGCTCCCAGGTTGAAGCGATTCTCATGCCTCGGCCTCCCAAGGAGCTGGGACTACACAGCCCACCACCACAGCCAGCTGATTTTTGTATTTTTAGTAGAGAGGGGTTTCACCATATTAGCCAGACTGGTCTTGAACTCCTGACCTCAAGTGATCCACCTGCCTCAGCCTCCCAAAGTGCTGGGATTACAGGCGTGAGCCACCGCGCCCAGCTGAAGCCTGTAAACTTTTTAGGGAGCTCCCTCAACCCCAAAGCTGTGGCTTGGGACCCAAGCATTCATGGTCAAGGGCTGAGCACCCTTGATGGTCCTTCCGGTGTGAAAACCCCACTCAGTCCCCAGGCTCCAGCCCCTGGGTGTAGGGTATCTCAGTCCAGCGCTCCTGCACCCACCTCCATGTGCCAGGCTCTGTGTGAGATGCTGGGGGATTCCCAATGAAGGCTGAAGCACCCCCGCCCAGGAGGGTCCCCAGGGCCACGGTCTGAATGAGGGCTTCGCACAGAAGGTGAACAAGCTACATCTGAGGTTGGGGAAGGGTGTGGCCGCAGAAGCCGAGGGCTCAGGTGGTGCTGGGACCAGAGTCAAGAATTAGTTTCCAGACCAGGCTGGGTCACACATCAGCCAGCTGAGCTTGACTAAATCACTTAGTCTCTCTGGGCACATTAACCTCGCCTATAAAGTGGGATAATGACACCTACTTGGCCAACCTCATAGGCAATCATGAAACTGAAGTGCGATGCTAGATAGGAAAGGCTTGGAACACCACTGGCCGAGGGCAGCAAAGGGGTTATTAAATAAAGTAAATGAGGGTGCAGGAAACGGGTGGATGGAGGCAGGGTGAGAGAGTGCGCTGGGCGGCTGGGGCAGGTTCCATGGGTAGAGGAGACATAAATGAAGGTGTTTTCAGCATGGAGCCTTCGGAGGTCTAGTTTAGATGCAGGCTGTAACAGGCTTGTTTTCATTTCATCCCTGTGTCATGGGGAGCCAGCGATGGTTCTTGATCAGGAGGGGCAACGTGTTAGAGCCGTGGCGAGGTACTCGAGCCTGTGGTCTCTGGGGCCAGGCAGCTGGGTTCAAGTCCCAGTCCCACCACTCACTAGGTGTGCGACTTTGACCCAGGGACTGCCTCAGCATCTACATCTACCTGGTGGGGATGAGGAGGAGATTAAAGGAACCAATGTGGGTAAAGCTCTCAGGATGAGCAAACGTTATGCCCTCATGTCACTGCTGGGGAAACTGAGACCCAGAAGAGAAGTGACTAGAAGGTAGGGCTGCTGACTCCCAGTCCAGTGCTCATGCCTGTCAAGAAAGCTGTGTTAGGAAAACAGAAGGGGCGGCTGCTGGGAGGAGTTCCTGCGTCAGGTATGGGAGGATCTAGTTTCCCATTTCCTAGAGAACAGGGGAAGAACTTGGAGCCTCACTTGGACAAAGTTCTTCTTCTGATCAGGCCACCCGAGCTGCCAGCATGGCTGAGTTGTCACATGCTGGCTTCTGGGCTGTTCTAGGCAGTGCTCCTGGTCCAGCCCTGGGCTTGGGGCCTTGGACCCTCCCCTGCTGAGGCTGTCCATGCACAGCCCTGTCCAGGGCTCTCCCAGCCCCACACCCTCCCAGCCAGCCTGAGAACTCAACTGCTTCCATGGCACAGCCAGCCTAAGATGGTGAGCGGGGGGTAAAATGTGGTAGGGTGGCCAACAGCATCCGTTTGCTGGGACTAAGTCTGTTCCTGATATAGAATTGGCTGAGCTAAAGCCTGCAAGGTCCCAGGCAAACAGGAACAGGTGGCCTCCCTAAAAGTGGCCAGCCTCAGACCCACCTTGCTGAAAATGCAGATTCTTAGAAGTGCTGCAGGCAGGGCCCTGGAACAGGCATTTTAAGCCATTCTGATGCTCGCTGACATCTGAGAATCGCAGCTTAGAGCGGGTTGTCTCAGAAATGTTGGGGCCTGGTCCCAGCGAGTGTAGAGTTGACTCAGTGTGAGCCCTCTCCCTCACGGGAACCAAGTCAGATCTTCCTTTGTGCTCTTGTATCACCCCTTCAATGGTGAGGAGGAGGATGGGACGTTGGTGATGAAGGTATCCCCACAGCCATAGGACATGTGTGCTGCTACCCCCACTTTACAGATGAGACTACTGAGCCTCGGAGACAGCAGGTGATTTGCCCAAAGTCACACAGCCAGTAAGTGACAGAGCCAGGACTCACAGCCAGCTCTGTCCCCACTCCCCTGAAAACCCAAACCCACCCTCTCCCTCCATGGACTCAGGGCCTGGACTTCTGGGAGAAGAAAACCAGACATTTTAGAGCGGAGAAACTGATGGGAAAGGTCCCCATGTCTGAACACAGAAAGGTTGACGAGATGACCCACAAGGTCCCCACCAAGCTGGACTGCGGGGGCAGAGGAGACCAAGACCCAGGCAGCTGGGATTCTGGGTGGCAGTTCCGGCTGCCCCTCCCCAGTCAGCGAGGATCC